CTATCACCCTTTGCTTTTGTGTTAGATTTATGACTTTAACTACTATAATCTAGGAGAAGCAAAGGAGCTATCACTTCAATGTAACCCAAGCTTCAAGTGACTTCCAGCTTCCCTTCTGTGGAAATGTGTGCCACAGAAGCAAGCCCAGGATGCTTCTAGAGAGAGAGAACCTTAGAGACCAGAGTCCAGTCTGTCCTGATGAGACCACGCTAAGTTATCTTGAAGATGGTCAAGTCCCCAAATCAGAGAGTTATGCTGGTATCAGACAAGCTGAGCCACAGCTTATCATATGCCACAAATGACCTAAACACTGTCCAGAAGAACCAATCCCCTGACCTACATCTCTATTGGCAATATCAGACCTCATTGTTTGCAAACTGGTGTGTGTGGCAGTGCCTCGCTCCTTATTGGCAGTTTCTATATAGTTCTCATGAAATCGTATTTAGTTTTCAGGGCAACCATCTGATAAAAATAGAAACTAACTCTATAAGCACTCACCATGCGGGAAGATACGGCTCTATAGTATCATCTTGGACACAACATGGAGAGACAAATACAATAAAACATGGCCGCAGTATTACCTTGTAGAGTACAGACCAGATCTATCTGAGGCCAAGTCCCTTCTTCCAGAGAAGCTGGGTTCTGGGGACTCACATGCATGATGTTGGTGCTGTCATTGAAAATCTTCACATAGGGCTTCAGGATGTTGAAATGGAAGGCAGGGGTCAGCATACGACGGTGGCGGCTCCACTTGTCACCAGCACTCACCAAGAGCCCGTCCCCTGGGAGGGCAGCATGGCAATGAGCAATGATGGCGTGTCCCCCACCCACCTCCAAGGATGTCCCTGGGCCCTTCATCTACAGCTACTTACCCAGCCAGGGTTTCAGGAAGGTGTAGAAGATTACTTCCTTTGGGGCAACCGCAACTGACATAAAAAGGAATGATCAGGGGCCATGGAGAGTCTAAGACATGAACTTGCAGAGCGTGTGGGCACCTCACTGAGGTGTGTGCATGTTTGCCCCAAACCCAGCAGGGCAGAGTTAGAGAAATGGACATCGGAAGCAGAGAAGAGAAAAAGAAAACCGGATACAAGGTGAGACAGCCTCAACTCACCTTAGGATCCCTTCCCTTGGCTTCAACATAGTCTACCATGTCTGCCCGTCAAGTGTAGCACAACAGTCTACAAACCTAACACAGCTGTCCATCACCGAGTGCTGTGACATCTCCTGACACAAACATGTGTCGTGGACATATATGGGGAAGCATGGGCTAACATGGCTGACACACACATGATCTGCCCTAAATAATCCTATCTACTGCTAAACGGACAGAAATGGTCTGATACATCTCAGCGTGACCCATAGGCAGGTCCCAGACAAGAGTTTAAAATAGTCACAATATTTTCACAGATATGGCATTGGTGTGGTGCAGTCAGACATCAGACCTGCCTCAAACAAGAAATCTGTCATATTTCTATGCCAGTGGGACTCTAGGTAATAAATCCAAATCACCTCCCAAACACTTGTTATTTGGTATCCTTTGCTGAAGAAAAAGAGAAAGATAATTCCAAACAACTGCTTAGGCAAGAAACAGATGTTCTGCAGGTGTCCACAGCTCTCCGTGAGCCCCGGATAGAGCCATAGTCATGATTACACTTGGTTGATACCTGCAACAGTATGAAACACCTCAACCAGATCGTGTTTTGAAAGATTTAGTCCTCAGATGCTGCCTCTATTTTGGAAGATTCTAGACGTTTTAGGAAGTGGAGATTAGCTGGAAAAAGGTCACTGAAGTAAACCCCTGGGAACATATTGAAATGAGTTCCCTCCTCTCCGCTATCCTCCCTCTATCTACCCATGATAATATGTCCATTTCTCTTTTATCATGATGGACTCTGAACCACTATCAAAACCAATCTTTGCCCATTTAAGTTGTGATAACAACAGCAACAAAAAGAGCTGCTACACCGGGTATAATCAGGAGATGGACACATCAGTCAAGCTTCATACTGAAATACCCGTGAGACAGTGGCAAGGGAATCACCAAAGTCCCTCTGCCTGTACCCCAGGAATGTGTACCCGCTGGAGGCAGCACCGAGACCTTAGCAGTGGGCAAACAGGCTGGTTCAATGTTCACCTGGATCAGAAAACAGGAGCCCCTTTGAGGTTTGATGGAAGATGTGGATAACCACCTGCCAGGACTCCATTCACCAGTAGCATACACCCCCAGTGGTGCACACCATGCCGTGGGTGCCCAGGATACCTTCCTCTGAGCTCTGAATGGAGATGAGAAGAAAGAGGTCCTACATTCTCTAGGCTTTCCAATAAAAGAATTACCAAGGCAGCGGGCCAGCGTGAGCCCCGAGAATTCTACCTAGCACTCTCACCCTCTGTGAGCCTTGCTTGGGCTTCCTCCTGACAACTTCAGTGAAAAGTAGAGAAATCCAAGAGAAAGAAGGACTGGGCTGCTTCAGGAATCTCACAGAAGCAAGAATGCGGAGACTAGAAGCCTTCCCTTCCCCCACACTCACACCACCACCAGTTTCCCCCAAGTACCTGAGGCACTGAGGACAGATCGAATGATGTCAGGGTGGCACAGAGTGATGAGCGGGAGGATGGGACCCATCCATGTCCTGAAGCCCTGGGGATAGGTGGCCACCAGCTTAGTCACCTCCTTTAGACCCTGCTCGGTGGGTGGGACCTATAAGCAAGATAGGAGCAGTCACCTCCTGGGATGGTTTGTCGGGGGTCAAGTGAGATGCTCAGAAAGCTGAAACCACATGACTTCCGGGTATCTCCAGGATGGCGTTTCCAGAAGGCATGGGTGTTTTCATCAGCAGTCTCAGTCAGGATGACCCACCTTTCACACGGTGGGCAGCACCATCCATTCCATTGAAGAAGCGTATAGAGCAGTGGCTCTCAACCTTCCTCATGCTGCAATCCTCTCATACAGTTCTTCACGTTGTGGGGTCCTCCAATCATAAAATTATTTTTATTGCTATATCATAACTGTAATTTTGCTACTGTTATGATTTGTAATGTAAATATCTGATCTGCAGGATGTCTAATCTGTGACCACCCCTCCTAAATGGTCTTGATCCTTCTGATTAAGAACCACTGGTATAGAGCAATAGATAGGGAAAGGGAAAATTCACTCCCATCTCCAGACTGGGGTACCCATCTTCTTCTGCCCCCAGACTTAACAGTCCAGGTCCTTGACCTTTGCACTCTAACTCATTCCACAGGATCGCTCCTCCCCTAAGGATCCCCACACAAAGGATGTCAAACTTTTGGTATCAGATTGAATTAAATACAGCCTGACTTCCCAGTCCTCCACTTTGCCGATGGCACATTTTAGCATGCTCAGAATCCATAATTATATAAGCCAGTGACCATACCACAATGTACCCTCTCTCTGCCCTCACCCTCATGTGGATATATACGATACATTATTTAATGATATACATAATGTGTTGTATAGAGCTTATATATCTATTATGTATTTGTCTATATATCCAATTAAATATATATATACTTACATAAATATATGAATAAAATCATGTGTTCTATAATAATGTTTTTATCACTGACACACTGCATATGTGTGTGGCTATGGTCCTATAAGATCATAATGACCTGAAGAATTCCCATGCGTAGTATTTTGTATGGATGGATGGATGTCGTGAGCTTTGCTATTTGCAGATGAAGCAGCCGAGGCCAAGTTATCCTAAGGAGAGGATAGACTTGGTCAAGGTCCAAGGGGTGGGTCTCAAAGGACGGTGTGTGAAAGGGCAAGTGGGTGACTCTTGTTCTGCTAGGGCAGCATGACTCATGGATTCATCTTAGGGGAGAACTGCAAGCTTTAAAAAAGGGGGGGAGGGGGCTTCAGGAACAGAAGGCAGGAAGACAGCCCATAGCTCTTTTATCCTATGTGTGGTGGGAGAGTGATACCAAAGACCAATCCCAGAAAAACACTGAAAACCGGAGATGGACTGACAGAAAAAATGTCACTGACCTTGGACAGGGCTTCTCAGGAGGTCTCAAGTTCACCAGCAGACAATGGGGGAACACAGGGGTCCTCACTCGGTGTGACCCACCCTGGAAACCCCTCAGTGTACACCAGTGTAAGAAATTAATCTAGAGCTAACTCAGGGTGGAAGACCGGAATAAGCGAAAAGCTAGGGAAGGATACTGGAGGACTCGGGGCTACTGCCTCCCTCAGCCCCATTTCTAATGCATTCACTCCTAAATAGGAGAGCCACAGTCTGCTGCCACACTCACCATGCCCAGGTGACCCAAGAACCAATTCCGTTTTGGGGGCTGAGGGAAACCACGAAGATGACGATATGTGCCATAGTAGGTATAGCTCTGAGCCAGGACACGGGCCAAGAGCCAGGAAGTTCCGATGAGCATCACAAGCAGCCATGGTGAGGCTGCCTCCAGGCTCAATCCCAGCCAGGACAGGTCCAACTGTGGCATCCTGTAGGGAGGATGGACAGAGAGATTCAGAGGCTCGGAAGCGGTATGGGGCCCTCAGCGATAGTGGACAGGGGTAGGGACAGTGGGGGCTGTCGGTAGGAGGAGCGGTCCATGGGGAGGAGAGAGGCAGTAAGAAGAGGAGAGACAAGAGTTCCCAAATACCTGAATCATAGTGAGGCTGCCTGGGGCTATTACCTGGAAGTGGACAGAGTCACTGTGGCTTTTGGGTCTCAGACAGCTGGCTAACTAGAGATAAATAGTCAGGCTCAGAGCTCTCTCTAACCCAGTACAGGACCCTACAACTCTACCTCCCTTGGCCTGGCACCTCCTCTCAGGAACAGCCTGTTTCCCAGACTTCTTCACCCTCCTCAAGAGCTCGTTTTATTCCTGGCTTCTGCCCTGGAGGAGGTGATGGGAGGCTGGGCTCAGCTGTGTCAGCCAATCCTTTACTGACTCTTCTGCTTCCTCCCCTCCTGGGAAAATGGCCAAAATGAGGGGTGCTGGTCAGCATGCTACAGAGTGGAATCAAATCAGGTGCACACAGCATGGACGCTGCCAGATTTTGGGACTTGGCCCTTTCTGACACAGTGGGGGCCAGGAGTGGTGAGATTGGGGGTGAGCAAGATTCTGAAGAGAGCAGAGGTGAGTCTGAGCCCCACATTTACAATTGCCCCTGCTCTTCCAAGAATCATTAACAGGAGTTCAGGAGCTAGGGCAATGGAGACAGGCCAGGCAGACCATCTCCCAAGGTCCTCTGCACTGAGCTGCTCTGACAGCCGGCACCATTCATTTTAAAAAATGAATACATACTATTTTTTAATTAATTTGTTGGGAATTTCATACATGCATAAATTGTATTTTGATCAGATTCAGCTGCTACTCTTCTACTTTATTCCTTGAAGATCAGCTCCCCACCCCTCCCTTCTTTTTTAAAAATAGATGTAAGACCTACAGGGGGCAGAAGGCCTTCCAGGGCCCAGATCCCCTAAAGAAAACTGACTCTCCCTCCACCGACAGCTGTCAATAGCTCCTCACCTGGGGCTTCAAGACCCCATCCCCAGTACTGGAATGTTGACTGCCTTGATCTTGAACAGGTCTTGTACAGGCAGCAGCAATTGCTGTGTGTTCATGAGTTCAGAAGTTCTGTCATATCCAGAAGGCATTGTTGGTCCTATCCTCCCAGACTTCTGGCTCTTATGATCATCAGCTTCCAAAAGGATCCTTGATTCTTGCAGGTGTGGCTATGATATAGGTGGCCATTTATTCTCTGCACTGTGACCAGCCACGAGTCACTATAAGAATTGCTGTCCATGACACAAAGAAACTTCTCTGGTGAGCTCTTTCATGGCACAAAGCTGGGAGACTCCAGGATTTCCTCTGCCTACCAGGGACACAAGCAAAATTCAAATCCTACCCTGAAGCAGCTCAGAGTCCAGAGAAAGACACAGTTCTTGGGGTAGGATCAAAAAATGCAGCCCTATGATTTCCCAGGTGATATTCCCAGGATCAGTTGGAAGAACTGTGGCGGTCCACAGATATGAGCCTGTTCTGCCTTGACGGGGGATGGGTACAGAGAGTTTGAGCTTATTTTTACTCTTTCAAAGTTGTTGAAAGCAGGTGTGGCTACAAAGAAGATATCCTGACCTAGGGTGTAGTTACTTCCTGTTTTGAACGTTAAGATGGCCCATAGAAGTGGACCCACTCAACCCTGACCAGAAGTCAGAGAATTCGAGCCTATTCCTGAGCCTTCATTTTAAATAGGAGGTTTGACACAGGAAGTGGCAGCCTACAGGATACTTGGTTTAGGATGCATTCACTGCATATCCTGTCCAAAACATCAGAATGCTTTACTCAGGAAATAACGACTTGGTGTCTCAAGTACTGAAGCAAGTAACTTTGTATGCTGTTAAAGCAGTCTTTTGCCTTCTTCACCCACTTTTGTTTTGGGGTATAGAAGCATATGAAAAATAAATGCAGGTGGGTTCAGTATTCAGGATTCACGGAGTTGCCCTTCTGATACTATTCTATGTCTCATTCTTTTGTATCTCTGTTCCTCCTACCCAACATTTCTATCCACACACCCCTACCCTGGAGTGTATGTACCTGTCATGGCTGAACCCCAGCAGCTATCACCCCATAATGTGGCTTACAACAAAGAACAATGCTTAGGTTGATCTGGTGGTGAGGTCAAGAGGAACTCTGAGCAGATGGTAATTTTCTCTGCATCGTTCCAATTTTAGTATATGTGCTGCCGAAGCGAGCACAACTCTCTGAGCAGATGGATCCAAGCAGAGGAGACCATGGCACTGGTCAGAGGACAGCCTTGGGTGTCAGTTCTCACCTTTCTCCTTTTTTTTAAGGTCTCTTGTCGGTTTTGCAGCTCTGTACTCCAGGCTAAGTGACTCACTAGCTCCCAGGGATTCTACGGTGCCTGACTTTGTGTGGATTCTGAGGATTTGAACCCAGGTCTTTACATTTGCAAGCAAATGTAATACCCTCTAGGGTTGCAGAAACAATTTTTGTTTGTTTTTGGCTTGTTTGTTTGTATGGGTTTGTTGGTTTGCTTGCTAATTAAAGATTGAAAAGGCAGGGAAGAAGCATTGCTGGAGGTCATGAGGAGCTCCTGAAGAATCATCATATAATAACAGAAAAATTGCACTCCCATGGGGTTTTCAGTCACAGTAATAAAAGTGTGCTTGTTTGAGTGAGAGATATCTCCCATAGTCTCAAGCATTTGAATACTTTATTCCTCACTTGGTGACACTGTTCGGGGGAGGTTTAGGAGGTGTGGCCTTGCTGGAGGAAGGATGTCACTGGGGGATGGGTACTGAGAATTTAAGGCCTCACACTACTTGTAGTTGGCTTTCTCTGGTGCTTATGGCTCACGATGTGAGCTCTTGGTTTTCTGCCAGCTGCCGTTAAGGACTCTGTCTCTCTGGAACCACAATAAGCTCTTTCTTCTCTGAGTTGCCTTGGCCAGGCTGCTATATCACAGTAACAGACATGTGACCGATAAATGACACCCATGGACAAATAACAGACTCGGGCAGAGGATTGAGGATAGTTTATTAGAGTTTCAAAGGAAATCCCAGGCCCACTAGCTGCCAGTCTCAAGGCTGTGTGGAGAAGAATGGAATCACCAGCTCGGCATGAAGGTCAGCCACATGGCTGCAGGCGGTCACACAATGAAGAGGGGAACTTGAGAAAAGGAGTAAAGAAATCTGGAGAGTTAGGAAAGGAATAGCCAGGCTCTCACCAGAATCCAAAAGAAGACGTTACTGCCTCAGAAAGGTGGACAGAACCAGTGAACCACATGGAGGCTCCTGGGCATTGCACTAGGACCCGGGAGTTCTGGGAAGGAAACGTACATTATCTTAAAGTGAGTCCACTTTCCTATGGCTGAGCCTCTAGCCAGATTCCTGCCCCCACCCAACTGGATTAACCTTTAAAGGAAGAGACACGGGTGTGTCTCCTAGATGTAGATTCCATTCACCCATGGAGCCATTTCCTCAGTCCCCTTTCTCATGTGCTGTGTAGCTTGCTCTTGAAACAACGTTTACTATTCTGTACAACTATCATTTATATTCTAAAAAGGGAACTGTTGCATGTCATGCTTGTCACACAACTGGACATTCATATGTGACTTCTGAGAATCGGACAGCATTGTGTGTGGGAACAGACTGCAGGGCACCTCTCAGGATCAGCTGTGCTTGGGGCCACTTCTCTTCAACTCGCTGTGTTGCAGTGTTTTCATATTCATCAGAGGAGCTAGGGGGTTGGTGAGAATATTAAATACATAATATTGAACAAAGAATTAAAGCAACACTCACCCCAGTGTACAGCCAGCACCAGGACTGGGTTTGTCATCTTTACTCCAGTGATAGAATGAGGACATGGCTACCCACTGGGGTCCTGGGGTCCCTTTCACACACCCATCAGGAAACTTGGTAGCTGTAAACACCCGCTGAGCGTTCTCTGACCTTAGCAGCCTTTTGCAAAAGCTGTGAACTCCTGGCTTGGGATCAGGTAACTTTATAAAAAGCTGGCTTCTGTCTCTCACCAGCTGTGTGACACTGAGCAAGTAAGCTGCCTTCTCTGATACTCACATTCCTAGGGGCATGAACATTGGCTCCAGAGTATAATTTGTCACTATATTTGCCCTACTTTAGGATCCCCATAAGCAGACAATTTAAAAAACCTGAAGTTCAAATCCTGTCTTTGGGGGTGACCCTTAGGAAAGCTTTTAACTGCCCAGATGTAAAAGATAATCCCTGGACACCAGCAATGCAGTGAGGAAGTAGAATGGGAAAGGAGGCAAGGGTTAAACTGTGTGTTGGAGAAAGTTTGTACATTGGCCACCAAGGCTGAGATCTAGGGAGGGGCTCTGGGAGACAGCCAGCATCAAGTACATACTTTAGAGTCATTCCCAGAGCTGACTGAGACATGAGTTGACTGACTCATGACTGTCCTTCAGGACTTAAACATAGCCCAGGTTGCTCCCAGGGTTGTTTGTCTGGGGTGTGCAGCCTGCACTGCAAAGGTCGAGTCTAACAACAGGGCCAGGGGCTCTGGCAGAAGCTCCAGCAACTGCAACACCCCCCCCACAGACACACCCCACAAACACATACACACGCAGACACACACACATACACAGACACACACACATACATACACATACAGACACACACATACATACACATACAGACACACACATACATACACATACAGACACACACATACACAGACACACACAGACACACACACATACACATACATACACAGACACATACACAGGCACACGTACACAGAGACACACACATACACAGACACACAGACACATACACAGACACACACAGAGACACACAGACACACACATACACAGATACACACAAACATAGACACACACAGAGACATACACAGACACCCACACACAGACACACATACACAGACACACACAAACATAGACATATACAGAGACATACACAGACACCCCCACACAGACACACACAGACACATACACAGACACACAGACACAGACACATACACAGACACACACATATACACACATAGACACATACACACATACACGTTACTCCAGTGATAGAATGAGGACATGGCTACCCACTGGGGTCCTTGGGTCCCTTTCACACACCCATCAGGAAACTTGGTAGCTGTAAACACACACATACACAGACACACACACACACACACAGGCACACATAAAAACCTCCTCAGTACTTTACAATTTGCCTCCACATGTACATACATGGCACACAATATAAATACACTTGCACAAGTGCACACAGTCAGACTCAGCCTTACCACCAAACACACCCATAAAGTCTCAGACAAGCTGAACTTGACCTAAGAGCCTGCTGTCCTCAGACTGACCAGCAGAGGGAGCGTCCTCCACTCTCAGATCCACAGACTTTACTATTTCATTCTCATACTGATCGTAGGCAGAATCTCAAAGTCAGTTTGTTCTATCAGAGCAGGAAATGAGACACTAAAGATTCCAAATATCAATATGGAACGATGCAGTTTACAAAGAATAGATTAGCTGGTGAGAGAGCGAAAGTAAAGGAAGGCCTTTTTCTTTTCTCTACTGAGGGATATTATATTCATTTTGATGCTCAAGGACGTGTAAACTGTTATGCCCAGATCACAACATCCTCCTGCAAAACCAACTAGGAGACCGATCCCTGTATGTAAAAGCAAAGAGCCTTTATTCTTATTCAAGTTCAAACTCGGACTTTGTGTGTGTTAAGGTATTGACGTGAACAGAGAGTCCCAAGTTCAGTTGGGGTTGGGTTTTTATAATAGCAATGGTTGGAGTGAGGAATTTCTAAGGTTTAGGACCCCTGATTGGCTGACATTTGTGGGTGTCCTGGTAAAAAGCGTTGGGTGTGTGCTGGCAGGTGTTCCTATCCGCAATGGTTAGAGCATTAGGAATTTCTTTGGATGATCTGTTCCTGGGTGGTATCTGGGTGGTCTCAACTTGTGGTCTTTCGTGGACCAGGTATTGCCTTAGGGTAAACTACTGAGATTTGGGGCTCTGTTGAGCTTGTCATGGTTGGGTCCTACATAAACATCATGTACCCCTTTCTTATAAAGAACCCAAAGCACAATTCCATTAAAGTTGACCCCCAGCAATCAATGAGTTTGTTGGGCTTACAGAGCATGAATGAGAGGCAGGAGTGAGGAAGGGTGATGGCTAAGGTCGGCTGTCATCTGGACTTGACATCTGGAATCAACTAAAACCCAAGCAGCTGGGCAGCCTGTGAGGGATTTTTCTTGCCTAGATCATTTGAGGTGTGAACCCACCCTAAATGTGAGTCACACCTTATGATGGCAGCCCACATAAAAGGACATGGAAGAAAGAAGCTTTTGTGCCACGTCCACAGCAGTGACTGCCGTGTAGTGACAAAATGCCTCTGCGCTGGCTTTTACCTGCTGAAGGATTGGGGTTAGAGCTTCTTGGAGCGAAGCACCAGGTGGTCCCCCTGGCAATCAGTGGTCGAGATAGGACCTGATGCCATAGGCAAATCTCGTATCTGGAGATGGCCCTGAGAGCGAGCCCTCCTGACACCTTGCCTGATCTTTCTCTGTATTTCTTAATTTTCTTGTTTATAGCTGACCGCTTACTAAGAAATCAAAGTACGTCCTTGGCTCGGCTCCACCGTTCATTAAAGCAGTCCTTGAGGAACTGAAGTATGCCCCACGCCACATGAGCCTGGGAAACTTAATTATGAAACAGAAACGGCTAAAGTTGAAATGTTACGAGGGAATCATCATAGTGAATCAGATTTAGGGAGAATTAGAGAAAATTCTCCTTTATGGAAAAATTAGTTAGATCCCGGAAGCCTTGGTGTCTTTATAGTAAGAAGGAAAGAATGGAAATTATTGAAAACATGAGATCAGCTTTAATATATTGGTATAGGAATTATTATAAGAAAACTATTAGGGAATATGGACCAAAGAATAAAAAACTATATAAATGGGAAGCTAAACACAGGACCCTGAGAACTAGTCTCCCACGGTAGAATGTGGTTAATGGTGCGAGACAAAACAAAACTGAAAGTCCTTGCCAACATCTTGAGCACGTAGAGAGGAGCACGTAGAAGGAGCTCTATTTTGATTATGCTTAGCCTTGATTTATGTCTGGAACCCTGAGTGGGGTGATGCAGTGAGCCTGCCAAGTCCTTTGATCTGTTTTGTACAAAAACTGAAGCTTTACAGAAGTAAAATTGCAGCAGATTTTCACTACACAGTGTGTCTGTCTGTCATTCCCTTGCGTCGTATCCTGGCTATCCTATCCTTCACCCTGTTCTCCCGTGGATAGCGGTCTCCAAGAGGGACGGTCCGTGGCACTTTTGTTTTTTGCCTGCTTGCCCTCACTCTCGCTGGCAAATTCATCTATCCTGTTGCTGAGGCATTCCTTCACTGGTTTGAGAACCTTCTTCAGGAGTCCAGTGCAGACTGGAGACCAGCGGTTCCCTAGGAATCTTCCAGGACCCCAGTACCAGATTAGGACTGCTGAGACATCCAGTCTTGTGGACAGAGCAACTACTGTAGACAGCCATTGTCAGACTACCCATATGACCTGTAAATCATTCTAATAAATCCCCTTTTAAACATATGTATACAAATATATATTAATATATGTTTTCTATCAGCTCTGTTCCTTTAGAGAACCCTTATGAATACAGCATAGGTGAGCTCCTTCAGTTAACCTTCCCCTTTCTACTCCAGCACCTTCTCAAATTTGGGCAGAGTAGCTTACAAATGGTAGAAGGAGTAGCTGGAATCTCAGTGAGGGTCCATCCAGTGACCCTCTCCACCCTGCCTTCTGTGATGGAACGTCTACAGTCACAGCTCCATTGTGATGGTCATTGACAAGTAGGCAGTAGGAAGATAGTAGCTATTAGTTCAGATGACTGTGTTCTACAGGACCACTCGAAAGGGTATACTGATTCAAAGATTAGAAGCTGTGTCTGTGATGGCAGATGGGAAAAGACAGATTAAAAACACAATAGATCTTAGTCAAGTAGGAGCTGAAGGAAACATTACAAAGTGGATGTAGGAGTTTCTCTAAAAATAGTCAAGCCGCCAGCACACAGTGCTTCACACTGCTCACTCTTCTAGCCCAGGAACCATCCAGGCCATGGAACAGCCATCACCTCACACTGTTGCTACCATGCCTTCCATACAGTGGTAGGCGTAAGCCATGAGCTACATAAACTCTTTCCCTCATGGGTTGTTCCTGTCAAGTATTAGGTCCCAGCGACAGATGCAAAGGCTAAGGAATGTAGAGTTCCATTGAACACACACACGAGTGTGTACTTAAGCACCTGTTTTTGTTGTGTTTTTCTTACCTAGTAGACCTGTAGGATCAAGTGAGAGTCACCATTCAAACTGCCAAACTATTTTCCTAGAAGCTTCAGCATTTTGTTTTCCCTCCAGGAATGTGTGTGGCCCCCAAACTACTCATCCGTATCCCTCAACAAATGTTAGAGTCTATCCTTCCGATGAGTGTCATGTAGCATCTCAATTATTTTCTCTACATTCTGTAACTCCCATTGATGCTGAGCATCTGTTCGGGTACTTTATAATCAACAAAATAACAGTTTTAATCAGGACAGTGCATTAATATAATACTATTAGATGCTAATAAAATATCCACCGCCATGCATAATTAATAAATAAAAACTGGAGCAATGTGTAAGAGAATATTATTAGTGATTATTTGTGATGGTGTCTTGTTATATAAATAAAGCTTACCTGAAGATCAGAGGGTGGACCTAGTCACTAGCTAACCACAGAGGTATGGAGGTCTGCATAGACAGACAGGAAGTGATATGACTGGGCAAAGAGAGGAAGTGATAAGTTGGGAGGAGACAGCTCAGTCTCTTTTAGGTTGGAAAGTTGAGTAGGAAAGGTATTTTGCTCCTTCATTTCTCTAGTCTCAGCATTTTCACCTATATCTGACTCTGAGCTTTTACTACTAAAGCCTATCAGAAGTCATGCTACAATTATTTAGCATGTTTCAATTATAGATTAATTTCCTGTTCTAAAGAAAATTAGTTTTTATTTATTATAAATATGGGGGGATAGGCATGTGCCATGTTTGGTGTGGAGGTCAAAGAAAAACTTTGCAGAGTGAATCATCTTGACATAGCGTCCTTGTTTGTTTTCTATTGCTGTGTGGTGGGTTGAAAGAAAATGGCTCCCCCAAAAATGGCACTATTAGGAGGTGTGGCCTTGTTGGAGAAAGTGTGTCATTGTGGAGGCAGGCTTTGAGATCTCATATATGTTCAAGACATTACCCGGTGACTGAGACCACTTTCTCTTGCCTGTAAGATGTAGCTCCTTCTCTAGCAACATGTCTGCCTGCATGCTGTCTTGCTTCCTATCATGACAAAAGTAGACTAAACCTCTGAACCTTAAGTAAGTCACCTCAATTGAATGTTTCCCTTTATAAGAGTTGCTGTTATCTCTTCACAGCAATAGAAACCATAAAGAAGACATAAAGGAGTAATAAAGACTACACCCAATGATAGTCCTCTTCCTACATGACCCTGGTTTGTGTCAAGTTGACAGGCTAGCCAGCACATATGGGTTCCAAGAGAGGAACTAATACCATCAGGTGAGTGTGCCTTTACCCACTGAACCACCTTGCAGCCCTTTAGTTTCTATTTTGATTGTACTTTGTTTTATGAATGGGTATTGGAATACTGAAAGCATTTCAAATGAGAAGACTAGAAGCAAACAAAATATTTTTCCATCTCCTTTAGGAGTTCCTCCCTGTGGGGATCTCTGCAACCTCCATGGCCAACAGAGAGATGATCCAAGAGAAGCAAGAAGGCAGTTTGGTTCAACACAACTAAGTAGCTGGTGATGGTTCTAACTTTGTAAGTCTGACCCCAAGTAATTTATTTTAAGCTTATTTAAACACAGTACAAATTTGGTAAAAAGCTTTCCTAATGATGATTAACTCAATTCTATGTGCTCCTTGAGGAACAGATCAACATTTAAAAAAAGATCAGATGTGACTACATTGAAACTCTTTATATAGTACATATGACAGCTTACATAAAATTGGATTCTGTAGATTGACCTAGAAAAACAGATGACAATAAGGGTCTGAGGGATAGTCAAGTGTGGTCTCTGGCCACACAGATAGCACAAAGGTTATCTATCAGTCTAGAATGCACATCTGTTCCCAGATTTCTGGGCAGATTAACAGGCTATGCATTCTTTCTCCCTTTCTTTAACCAAATGATGCGAGTTTCCACCACTCACAAATGACAGAGAACTAAGCATCCAGATGGAGCTACAGAATGCCTGGCAAATACATATGACTCTTAGCATTTTCTGTCCTAGAGCCATAGTCTCGAGTGAACAAAGAACATGCAGCAGGACCATCACAGTAGAGGAGAGTGACGTGGAATAGTAGGTCCTATTACACACCAACCACAGCCCTCTCAATCTTGTTGCTGCAGAGTCCACTCCCGCTTTCAACATTTCTACCGCGGGCTATAGAGCTGCATCATTCCAGATGTCTGACTCTGTCTCTCCTGTACCTTCACTGATCTAACCTCTGGTTATATCTGGTTTGGTCATGTCCCCTCCTCCAGGAATTCTTTCTCCATAACCTAGCAGAGAGCTCACTTCATTCAACCATCACAACCCAACTCCTCTGGTCTATTTATACCGATCTCTCTTCTCCACCTACAGACATTTCCCCCCCTAGGGCCTTGTACTACGGCCTCCTGTCATTGCCATGGGTTCCAATAACACGAGGATGGGTGGGGGTGCCAACAATAGATGAAATGACATGACTTCGTCCTGGTTGGCTTTAACATTCACCTTGAGAGAGTCTGGAGCAGTGGTTCTCAGCCACCCTAAAGCAGTGACCCTTTAATACCTCATGTGGTGTCCCTCAACCATAAAGCTATTTTCGTTGCTACTTCATAACTAATTTGCAACTGCTATGAATCACTATGTAAATATCTTTGTTTTCTAATGATAATAGGCAGCCCCAGTGAAAGAGTCATTCGGCCCTCAAAGGGGTCACGACCCTCAGGTTGAGAAACACTGGTCTAGTGTCCTCTGTGAGGAGAGTTTCAATGGCATAGCTCAGGTTGACAACATGAAAATACATAGATGAGATAAACAAGCCTCAGGGCAGCACGACAGTTAATATAATAAGTTAACCCATATTTGTGGGTTAATTTAAGCTATAAGAACTAGTTAAAAACAAGTATAAGCTATCAGCTGACCATTTATAATTAGTAATAAGTCTCTGTGTGGTTATTTGGGAACCACTGGCGAGGCAGAAAAGTCCACCTACATGACTGCATGTGCCACAGGTCTCCAGTTCCAATGATGCAAAATGGTCCAAGCCTTGAGGCCGCCCAACCTCAGTATCTGAAGAAACGTGAGGGCACAGTAGAAGGACAGCAGAACATATCTCCAAGCCTCCATGAGGTTGGTAGTTCCTACCCACAAGCAACTATTCCCACAAGCCAGAGGACCCTGTGTATGCTACAAGGACTCGTGTGCAAGCCTTGAGCTCTGCTGTTCACAAATGAAATTATGAGAGCAAGGTGCCCAAAGGAGAGAAAAACCTGAGTCAAAGTCCGAGTGTGAGATAAAGGATGAGGTCAGGAAGGTTCATGGTAGAATAGGTGAACACTCTAATCCAGCTTGTGTAACAGGCCTTACTGATTCATCTTAGAGAAGTGCCATATAATGAGGACGTGGTATTGTGTGATATTTTGACTGTGTTCTGACAAAGTTTGCTTGGAGTCAGAGGGTGGAGCTAGCCACTAGTGAACCAAGATTAACCACCGACGCTTTGAGGACTGAGGACAGATAAGACAAGGAAGTAGTAAGCTGGAGTGGAGGGGAATCATGGCCCTTTGGGGAGGAAGTCACGCAGCAGGTGGGAGAGGACTGGTGGCTTCTCTGATCCTTCAGCTTCATACCCTGATATCTGACTCCCAATTTTTATTGATAAAGAATAATTAGATTAACTCTTTAATGTAGTAATTGGAAAGAGAACGGCCCCCTTAAGTTTCAGTATTTGAATATTAGATCCCTAATGGGTAGCACTGTTTGGGGAGGTTTAAGTGATGAACTCTTTTTAGAGGAAATGCATCACTGGGGGTGGGATTGAGATTGAAAAGCCTCACCTACTTCCACTTTGCTCTCTGCTTGGCGATTGTGGTTCCCAATGTGGGACCTCAGATTCCTATTCCTGCTGCCATGCCTGCTGCTGGCTGCCATGCCTACCTGCCATGGTGGCTCTTTTCCCTCTGGAGCTTTCTCTTCTATAAGTTAGCCCTGTCACAGTGTTTTATCACAGCAGTAGAAAATGCAAATGCTACAGAAGACATGGCCCAGAATAGGAAGATGGAGAGTCGGGTTGGGACCCTCCTATAGCCTTGATGAACATCAAAACCCTTTCCTGGAATAAAACAGAAACCTAAAGGTGAATGACAGAAAGGAATGGAACAATCAGGAAGCCGAGCCTGGGACAGTGCTCCTCAGAAGACCTAAACAGCAGAAATGCAGGACTGCCCTGGGTCCTGACTCTGCAGCTCATGCTTAGAGTCCCTCAGTATGTACCAGAGGCAGAAAAACAGGCTGGAAATGAATCTAGAGTAGACTGGGGGAGGAGGACAGGGATGTGAGGGCTTGAAGCAGAACACCCAAAGAACCCAGTCCATCCTGTCCCCAACTCTCTTACCCTCAGGAGGTCCCTGCATTCTCATACTCCAGACTCCAATCTATCCTTTTCCCAACTCTCTTACCCTTAGGAGGTTGGTGTACCTCATAACAACATGCCAGGCCTCCTTTGGAGAATTCTATGACCTTAGGGAGGTTCATGCATACTCATACCGAGATCCCAGACTGTCTTACCAACTCCATGACTACTGAGAGGCCCCTGCACCCTCATACTCAGGCCTCAGATCATTCTATTCCAAACTCTCTGACCCCTGGGAGATCCCTACACCTTCATTCCCAGATGCTAGTCCATCTTACCCTCAACCCCCTCAACCCTGGGACGTCCATGTACCCCCATACCCAGACACATCCTGTTGTCACATTTATTATGCTTAGGTGACCCAAAAAACCTCGGTCCCTTGGGGGGGGGGAGGCGAGGAACACCTTGGAGATGATAATGTCTTTTATCCAAGGCATAGATCTGGGTAAGACTATGGGCCAAGAGCCAGAAAGCCCTAACCAAGAGAAAAAGCACCCATGGTGAGACTGACAGGGGCTCCAGCCTCAGCTAGGACAGGTCCAGATGAGGAATTATACAGGGCAGATGAGAAAGTGTAGGTTCCTGAGGTTCAAGTGAAAAGGCATGTCTGGATACAGACCACATAGCAACTTGGGATGCTGGCATCAGAGCAGGAAGCAGTGGAATCCAAGGCAACACAGAGACAAGGAGGTGAAACAGGCTATGAAGGAAATTCAAGGGAAGAAGAGGATGAGAAGGAAGTAGAAGAGCAAGTACAAAGAGAAAGTCTGGCTACTATCCCAGATTGCCTGAATGATACTGAGGCTGCCAGAAGTTGTCCAAAAACAACCACTACTACCAGAGCCAACTGGAGCACTGTGGCCACCCTGCTTTAATCAGCTGGGTCTTTAACAATACCCAAGACATGTGCTAAGCTCTTTCTAAGCTAGGACAGTACCTTCCATCTAAGACAGCACCACTTTCCCTAGCCTGGCACCTTCTTTGGCAGGGTCTTCCCCACAGCTCCTCTCCTTCCTCCGTAACTGAGTTGTTCCTGGATCATGATCTGAGAGAGGTGATGGAATGCTGGTTTAGCTGTGCCAACCAATTCCTCCCAGGCCTAGTTGCTTCTTCCCACCCTTGACAAGAGGCCAAAGAAAAGGGGATTGGGTCAGTCAGCTACAGAGAGGAACTAAGTCAGGATCGCAGAGCATAGAAGCCAGCATTTGGTTCCTCCGTGTGTTTGTGGAAAAGACTAGATAAGGGCAAAGGTGATTTTAAGCCCCGCATTTATAGTTGCCCCTGCCATTTCAAGGACAGAATATATCTAGTATAATCATTAACTCGGGACTTCAGGTGCCAAGAGATCAGGACCAAGCCTGTCCAGGAACTTCTTTGGAGTTTCTCTGATCATTGGCATGAAGGAAGGCCTGCATGGTTTCCAGAATGCGGGTCCATCAGCTGCACACCAGGCAGAGGTCACGTCCCACGTACAAGTAGCATGGGGTCTTGGCGGGCGACTTTCTCTTTGAATCTGTTCAACTATTGATTTTCCAGGTCAGATACTTGAGATCAACAGTTCAGCTAGAAGGACATAGCTGAGGCTGGTCTGGCTGTAGACTGGAATGGGAGGGAGAAGACATATGGGGACGAGCCTGGGATGTGAACTGTGCAGATGAGGTCAAGAAGGGGAGGCTGGAACTGCTGGAAATAGGATGATAACACATTAAAGGAATGAGTGAAAATGGAGCATTGTTGAAATAGGAGCGGCAGGGCTGCGTCCCCGGCACCCGGCCGCCCGCATGGCTAGCTTATGCCCAGAAATAATTACACGGAAACTGTATTCTTTCAAACACTGCCTGGCCCGGCTAGTTCCAGCTTCTTATTGGCTAGCTCTTACATATTGTTCTAACCCATTTCTAATATTCTGTGTAGCCCATGAGCTGGCTTACCAGAGAGGATCTTAACCTGCATCTGTCTGGAGTGGGAGCATCATGGCGATTCCTCGACTCAGCTTCTTTTTCCCAGCATTCTCTTCTGTCTACTCCGCCTACCTAATTTTCTGTCCTATGAGGGCCAAGGCAGTTTCTTTATTATTACCCAATGAAATCAACAGATAAGATACAAGACCCACCTCCATCAGAGCATGTTGTAATGTAAACCCTACAGAAAAGGCAAAAATGATGACTTGTGCACTGATTTGGCAAAAGTGTTTTGTGTGTTTCTTTTTATGTGTATGGGTGTCTTTCCTGCATATATGTCTGTGCACCACATGCCTGCAGTGCCCAGGAACACCAGAAGGGGGTCAGATCTCCCAGAATTGAAGTTACAGATGGTTGTAGGCCACTATGTGAATGCTTGGGAAAGAATCCCAGTTCTCTATAAGAGCAGCGAATGCTCTCAGCTTCTAAGCCACCTCTTCAGTCAAGACAGCAGTGTTTATAATCTTCCAATCACAAAAAATTCCTGTTTTTTTTCTATAGTCTGGAACTCATAGCCCTCTCAAACTTCCCAGTTCATAGACCTAAGACATAAAGCCTCCTCCAATGAACCTCTTTCCCCATGCTAAGCTCCATCACATAGAACTTTTCTAACTGGAGTTCTGAGGCAAGCAGGCACCAGAGGCCAACTGGGGGAAGGAGACCTAACACCTCTGGAAACTCAGATGAGTTACCTGGGTTTTATTTTATTATCACTACTATCATCTCATATCTATATATTATATTTTAATCATCCTCATGTTTTGGAGAACTCTTATTATACTTGAAAGTGTGTCAAATTACCATATAACTCCCAGTTAGTTGTTAGTAAAATTTTTATTTACGTGAAGGATGGATGTCACATATAACATTCACTATTCTGTATGATTTTCATTTACATTTTGAGAAGAAACCTATTTCAAGCCATGCCTAACATTGGGCAGGACTCATACATGTGTTTTCTGAACAAAGACTAGTACACAGATTGCATGGTTGTAGGAGGAGGGCCTGCTTGTTTGTCCCAGCTGCCCAGAACCAAAATAACCACACAGAAACTGTATTAATTAAATCACTGCTTGGCCCATTAGCTCTAGCTTCTTATTGGCTAACTCTTACATATTAATTTAGCCCATTTCTATTAATCTGTATATCACCACGTGGCAGTGGCTTACCGGCAATGGTTCAGCATGTCTGACTCTGGCCACTCCATGGCATCTCTCTGACTCTGCTTTCTTCCTCCCAGCATTCAGTTCCATCTTCTCTGCCTACCTAAGTTCTGCCAAGGCCAAGGCAGTTTCTTTATTCATTAATGCTAATCACAGCACACAGAGGAGACTCGCACATCTTACAAAGGATGTATGACCTTGGAGACTTCTATTCATTTTGATGTTTCCTTACATACAAATTAAAGGGCATATCAATGTTTTATGAACATGAAACAAGCCATAAACTGAGCAAAGGGCTAACGCAACCCTCCCTGCCACACAGCCAGCACTGAACTCCTGTCTGTCAGTATGACTTTGTGACAGAATAAGGCATAGTTTGGATACCTTCATGAAATTCGTCAGGGAACTACTTGTTTGTAAACACCCATTGTCCATCTCCTGGCCCCTGGAAATCTTTTACAAAAGTTGTGAGCATGTGATTTTGGGTTAGAAACTCCAAACACCGGGATTTTCCATTCTCCAGCTGGTGATCTTGGATACACAAACTGGCCTCTCTGAACCTCATAGAAGCAGTATGTCTGTGAAGATTGCTGGAGCCACTGAATGTATGTTCTGCAGAAGCAGACCCTAATGTGTGAGGTCAAGTTATTTGGGTGTTATTCAAAAACAAGTTTCAGCTGCCAGGTATCTCTTTGGGAAAGAAGTCCTGAAAACAAGTAAGGCGGTGGGGACGTCAGATGGGTCGAGGAGGCAGGAGAGAAAGGCAGCTGAGGAAGGAAGTTGCCACACAGGCAGCCAAGGCTCAGGCATGGTGGGGAGCTCTGGAAGACAGAAAGCACATATGTGCATTCTTACCCAGAGTGAGTGAGCTGCAGCATTCACCCACCCATACCATCCCCAAGAGCTTGGGCTGATTTGAAGGTCAGTCTCTCTCTGGAGTGTGTGATCTTCATTGTAACAGAAGAGCCAGGCCTGAGGACAGGGGCGGGGGACTCTGACAGCATCTTCAGCCATGGACACACCATGTGTGAACAGTTTAGTCACTCAGTGGTTCCAATTGTGCATGCACACACACACAATCTCACATGTACATCCCCCTCCCCAATACCCACACATCAACACACCCTTCCACACCACACACACATACACATACCACACACACACACACCACATACACACATATCACACACACCACATCCACACACGTCACATACACACACACCATATATGCTCATATTCAGATGCCATCCAAGTGTTAGTATTCTATATGATTTCACTAATCTACAATAATGCTTTTGAATATTTTTCTGGGATTTCCTCTAATTTACTCACACAGAATCTATTTATTTGGATTTATATATTTTTAGAATGGTCCTACAGCCTTGATTTTTCATGTACTTTATATCTTTGTGTCAAAATTGAGCTTCTAGTGTTATTTCACTGGTTGAATTTTCTTAAATCAGCTATATTCTTTCAGTTGCTGAATGAGCAGGGATAAAAAGAGGCTAGGCTGGAGAAGGTTGGGGTTTATAGTTAATAGCTAAACCCATCAGTTAACATTCTCAAATATGATGGTCTATATCATTCCAAGAACAACACCATATCAACAGTAGAGCCACAATTCGAGGATATATCTCCACTAAGCAAATGTAACAGTGAGTTAAAAACGGCCGTTCACTTAATTTAAAAAACTGTTTGGAGATAAGTGGTGGTGGCAGCAATAACAGTGGTGATATGCAGTGATGAAGATTCTAGTTTCTAAGACTGGGGTGGAAAGGGTAGTGGCTGGGTAAGTATGTGGATCACTATTAAATCTGAAAAAAAAATAAGATGGAGGAAAATGTCTGGGAGAAGTTGGAATACTGTTAGAATTTAAAGATTACAGGAAGTTCTACTTAGGGCACAAAATGAGGAAGATATGGAGAATGTATTAATTACTCATCTCTCTTATTGTGGCACAATAACTGACCAAGCAACTTAATGGAGGAAGGTTTATTTTAGATCACAGTTAGAGGGCACAGCCAACCGTGACAGTTGTCGTCATCAGATTGGGGCAGCTGATCACATATCCTCAGCCAGGCAGCAGGCAGAAGAACCTTATTCTTTATTCTCTCCTGGCAGTTAGGCTGGTCTTCCCACTCCAGTTAATATAATCTGCACAATCCCTCACAGCCATGGCCAGAAGCTAACTGATCTACATAATCCCTCATAGACATGAACGGAAGTTTGTCTCTGACATGAGTTTTGACTATGTCCAGTTGACTACCAATATAACCACCACAATTCCACTCCTTGTCATTTTGACAATAGAGTACATCACTTTAAAACCACTTCTCATCCTTATTGGCCCATGGCCATCTCATAATAAAAAGGCGTTTCATCTAACTTCAAAAGTTCCAATGAAACATCAAGAAAGCCAACAACCCATTTAAAAAATAATGCATGGAACTGAACAGAGAGTTCTCAAAAGACAAGTGGCTGGAAACCAAGTGGCAGGCCCATTAAAGGCAGGAAATTAGTAAGAAGCCATGAAGGCGGGATTTCTAGGAAAGAGGCCAGAACAAAGTGGTATAAAGTGTTAAAGGGAACTAATGATATAAAAAGAGTTTAATGGGGAAAGATAGATAAGGAATATGGGGAGGGATAATTAACATTAAGGGCACTCAAAATATCATATGGAAACCTACTACTGTAGCAGCTTCCTAAGATATATAATACACACACATATATAAAGGTGTTAAAATGGGGTTACCCTGTGGCAACAATGTCTCTCCTAGACATCAAAGGGTAACAAAAAGCCCAGCTCCAGGACTGGGTTCCCTCTTTTGGAGTTGTTGGAAAGTGAGAGGACTAGCAAATAGAATGAAATCATCATCAAAATTTATTTAGGTAATTAGAGATTAAACACTGCTCCAGGGCATGGCCTTTGTTCTCTAGGTGGGGAGAGCTGACCTCATTTTTACCAATTCTGTGAGAGGGTGCTACCAATGATTACATGTCAGAATAATAAAGGATATTCTTTTCCTATTTTTCTAACTTCTGTGAATGGAATTCTGTGAATAGAAATAAGAAAAACACTTGGAGTAAAACTAAAGGCAAAGAAAACAAATGTGGCTTTCAAAGAAAGGACACTAAACATTTTAAAAATCTCTTTTGGAGTCCCGTTTTACTATTTTCCCCTGAGTGTTTTTTAAATGTGGGACAGCAGGGCTTTACCTGTGCTGAGCAGGGGCTGCTCCACTAAGCTACTAGGCCTGCAGTATGCCAAGGGCACTCAGACCTTGGGTTCCATGCCCACCCTTGGACTCCCCAACAGCCAGAGTAGGAAGGCCCCGGTCGTTGCTGTCCACAGTGCTGAAAACAACCTCCTTGGGTTCCCCTCACGAGAGAAAACGGGCACAACAGCACAATGATCAAACATACTAACTACATAAGAGCCAGGACTAGCCTGATACAGTGTCCCAAAGACTGCAGTCTCAAATGGCTGGAAGGCTTAAGCTGAGTTTCCTTTAAGACCAGCAGTTTGAGAATGACCCAGGACAACAGAGTGCAGCAGTATCTCAAAAACAAAGCAAAATGGTGGCTTGTTAGATTTAATATCCATAGTAACTTAGAACCCACAGAATTAGAATTCTGCAGTGAGAGAAGAAGAGAAGATGAGATTAAAATGGGCGTCAAGGTGGTGCTAAGGGTTTGCCTCTGAGGATCTGAATCTCACCCTCATCCTGGTCCGTCTCTTGCTCAGTCACCTTCTGTTGGCTCCAGAGTAGTGCAGCTTGACTAGAGAATGAACCCTCATCATAGGACCCTGTGATCATCGAGAGGAAGTCCGGGATCTTTGGCTCAAATTAACCATCCTGGCTAATGAATGGATTCCTTACAGTCCCTGCTTGCAGGGTAACAGCACAGTTTGTGTTTTGCAGTCTACAAAGGCAGACTCACACCTATCTACCTACTAGGAAGTCCGGGGCAAAGTGGGTGGATCAGTGTGCACCAAAGCTCAGCGGCTCCACCCGCAGCCACAGCCCTCCCTCCGCGCGCAGGATCAGTTCAGGCTTCCGGCGTGGCTCCTTGTCGTCTGGCAGGACGCGGAAGCGCAGCAGTGTGAGCGCCAGCGCCACCTTCATCTCGCTCATTGCGAAAGTCTGTCCTATGCAGTTCCTGCGGGAGGGCAGGGTGAGGACTCTGACTGTGCAGGGACCCAGATGGGCATCATAAGAACCAACCTGACCTGGTCCGTTGCTCAACAAGCAGCCTAGGAGCAGCGAGGGATGCTAATACATCGAGGACTCCTCTTAAAACTTAACTTGTCCCGAGTTAAGACCACAGCGGGAGGGCAGCGCTCTGAGCATCTGTGGCTTCCCTTGGACATGCCCAAATGGGTTCTCCAAACCTTGGTTTTTAATTTGATTTGGAGATGGGGGAAGGGGACTAGAAACTTCGACCATCTCAACTCCCCCTTTCCTCACCACCAGGCCCAGGTCCTGCTTCATAATCCTCACCTGGGTCCTGCCGAGAAGGGAATAAATGCCAGAGGTGACCTATCCTGGATGTTCTCTGGATCAAAGCGGAAGGGATCATAGACCTGCAGAGGAGACCAGCCATGGTGAATGAGTGGCATCTACCAGCACAGCCAGAGACAGAGTCTTGAGTGTGCAGGGAAAAGTGAGGTCTGATATCTTGGGGCCACTAGGGGATGAACAAGAATGGGGCACAGCGCACCTCAGGGTCCTGCCACACAGTTGGGTTGTGATGGATTCCAAAAATATCGATGACACAGATGACACCTGTGGGGAAAACGGACAGGCAGGGTAAGCTTGCAGCCTGATAAACCTTGCTGAGTGCCCAGGACCATTCTTCCCTATTCTGCAGCTACCTTTAGGGATGACCTTGCCATCTGGGAGGTAAATGTCCTGGGTGCAGCAGCGGGAGACCATTGCGACCGGAGGATGCAGCCGCAGACTCTCCTTGATGCACATGGTCAGGAAGGGCAGCTGGTTCAGGTCGTCCCTGAGGAAACCAATACACAATTACCAGGAGTGAAACAGAGGCTGCCAGCCCCTGTGTTGCCCACAAAACCTTTCCCCATAGTAATAAAATAATCCCAAGATCATCATCATCTTCTTCTTCTTCTTCTTCTTCTTCTTCTTCTTCTTCTTCTTCTTCTTCTTCTTCTTCTTCTTCCTCCTCCTCCTCCTCCTCCTCCTCCTCTTCTTCTTCTCCTTCTCTTTCTTCTCCTTCTCCTCCTCTTCCTCCTTCCCCTTCCTCTTCTTCCTCCTCCTCTTCCATTTCCTTTTCTTCTTCCTCCTCCTCCTTTTTTTCTTCTTCTTTTCCCCCTGGAACTAGCTCTTGTAGACCAAGCTGGCCTCAAACTCACAGAGATCCAGCTGCCTCTTCCTACCAAGTGCTGGGATTAAAGGTGAATTCCACCATTGCTGGGCTCCCCTTATGCCTCTTGTCTCTCCTTTCCTTGCTGTATATTTCTCTCCTCTTGTCTTCTCTCAGAGTTCCTTCTCCTGTCCCTCCTCATCATCCTTTTCCCCCTTCTTTACCCTCCATCTCCCCTTCTCCATTCCTCTCTATATTTTTCTTTTTCCCACACCCCTTGTGCTCCCAGTCACCTACCCCCAGTTCTACTGTCTTCCTCCTCCACCAGCCCACATCATCCTTGGTCCTATCCCCCTATTCTCCAGATATTCAGATACATAGATATTCAATGACTTTCCTGATGAAACATATCCTTTCCTCCCACCCTTGCTTCTCGTATGCTCTACCCCATGCCTGCTTGTGTGTCCTAGGGGTGTTTGCCCAATGACTGTTCTCCCACCAAGCTGAGAGATTCTGGAAGGATGGTCTCTGGGCTGAGTTCTTAGCACAGACTAAGCTGGGCAAAAAATTACGATGTAAAGACAGTGTGGGAGGGTTTGGTGAACAAAGACTGGATGCATGGACGAATCACAGGTTCAAGACAACATAGACGTGTCCTTTATCCCCAGATGTTCCCTATGAATCCCTGGAAGAATAGTAAGTAAGTAATTAGGGAGCAGATGAACAACCTATCAGAAAGGGAAACCATAGGAAAATGTTATTTAGGACAGAAGTGATAGAGGGGAAGGGAAGTTCATTTACTCGACATATCCAAAATAGCATCATCTGCCCCCACATCATGTTATCTCATCGGTAATTCTCTTTGACGTCCACATCTTTATGTTCCCATGCATAAACCTTTTCCTTGCTGATGAGGTAGAGGCCTCTCCCACCAGCCAATAACAGGAGGATCATTTAAAGAGTTCCCTTCCTCACCAGAAGGGGCTTGGGAACAGGCCAGCAGGCCCTGCACTCACCACTCAATCTCTGTAGATGCTCTGTCCTTAAGAAGATCCCTCACCTCCTGCCGACAGCGCTCCTGGTATTCAGGGTGTTTCGCTAGGTTGTACAGGATCCAGGAGAGCCCACTGGCTGTGGTGTCATGGCCTGCAGAGTGGGCAGTTAGGCTTGGGTCTCTGGGCTGTTGCAGTACCAATAAGCGGTGAAATCCTCAGGAGGGATGGGGAAAGATACAATATAGAGAATGGAAGGACCTAGCTTCCTGAGATGGAGAGACTCCTACCCTTTTTCTGGTCTCACAGTGAAACCCTCACCCCTAAACATGAAGGTGTCAGCCTCAGCTCGGACGTCCTCGTCTGACAACGCCTTTCCGTCTTCATCCTGGAAACAAGACAAGGTCTAACATTACACCACTTCTGAAGACTCCTGTGTCTAACAAAAAATAGGATCTGGAGATCTTTTTCCAACCAGGCACACAAGACCTCTGTACTCCTGAGTTTCTCTTGGTCACTGAAGGTACTCTGCTAGCATGGCTCTGTCAAGCCTTGTCCTTTCCCCAATTCCCTCTGCCTTAGCTAAAAAACCACTAGATTACATCCCTAAAGCTAGCCACCAAAGTCTATTTCCTTATTTGGTCACTTCTTCCCAAGGCTGGCAACCAAGTTCTCCTATCAAAGTATTAAAGTCCAGCAATCAAAAGCCCCCTTTGGCTCACCTAATTAGCATGCTCAATTAATACTAAACATCTCATCCTAATAAGGGCTCTGCCCTTTTACCTTTATAAACTGCCATTTCCCATGTGCCATGTCTGTCTACACTCAATCCAGAGGTGTTTTTCCCCACTCAAGGACATATACCCCTGTCCCTTTCCCTGGCTCCCTTTCCCTATTCCATTTTCCCCTATCTCCTATCTTTGTCTCTTATTTCCTGCCCTCTGTCACTCTAGGGTAAATAAATCTCCTTTTTGCTGAGAACTTGGTCTTGGTGGTTGTGAGCCAATGTTTTTCCTTTCAGTCACCATCATCAGAATCCCCAACACACAGGCATTGTTCTTGGCTCCCTCGCTTCCTGTTTTTTTCCTAGTTGAAGGAATCAAAGAGCTGTGGATATTTTCCACTTCTGTATGGTGAGTGATTTCTGTGGAAAAGAGTGACTAGCCACCTTGCATGGTACCTTGTTTAGGCAGTTTAGAGATTAAGCATTGCTCTAAGTCAGTGGTTCTCAATCTGTGGCAGACCTCTATCTCCAAACACATTTACATTTTGATTCATAACAGTAGCAAAATTACAGTTATAAAACAGCAAAAAAAAGTTTTATGGTTGGGGGAAGGGTCACCACAACATGAGGAAGAGAATTAAAAGGTCATAGCATTATGAAGACTGAGAACCATTGCTCTAAGTCATTTGTTTTGTTCACTAGGTGAGGAGAGTGGATTTCCTTTTTACCAATTCTTCCTTTACTGCCATCTGCTTTGTCACCAAAGGTTGTGTCTTCAGAACTGAAAGATTTAGATTGACAGGAGAAATAGGGGCAAGATGGCAATGTATGAGGACAGATGATGCCACACTGAGTGTGGTCAAAAAGTAAGCTCACCCTCCTTCCTTCTTTATCGCTCAACTGGGATTTTCCCTCTCCTGCTTTTCTAAACTTGCGTTTAGATTCCTTCCTGACTCTCCTGTTCCATCCTTGGCTCTAAATCTGGAGAACTTATCTTATTTCCTTTGGAAGCTATCATCTTGCATTCAATACCAGAATCCATTCTGTTTTTCTTAAAATCATAAAGTGTTGGGGCAGGGGAGATGGCTCATTGATTAAGAGCATCCTCACCCACATGGTGGCTTACAATCATCTATAACTTCAGTTCTATGGGATTCAATGCTCTCTTCTGGCCTCTGCAGGTACCAACCACACATGTGGTATACATGCAAACAAATAGTCATACACATAAAAAATTAATCATTTTTTTAAAGTCATGAGGGATTGTACAAGCATGTAGTATCAGAAGTTGGGGCAGGCAGATCCATTTACCCAGCCCTGAAGGCAAGCCTGGCAACATAGTAAGACACATCTCAAAAAAGCAATATAAAACCAAAAGGCTGACACCCATCTGTATTCCCAGCCCTGAGGAAGTTGAGGCAAGGGGAACATGAGATTGAGGGCAGCCTGGCCTACACAGTGAGACTCTATATAAAAGAGGAAAACAAAACAAAAAACTCAGCTAATTAATTTTTAAAAGCTCCATTGCATCTCTGAAGAAGCTCACCTTGCTTAGCAGCAGCACATCAATGAAGTCCAGAGTCTTTGACTTGGCCTTGGCCTTAATGACATCATCACCGCCGTGACTGGGCAGAGTCTGACGTCGCTTCTGGATGACGGCATCAGTGAAGTCATGCACCAGGCGGCAGGCCTTGTAGAAGTGCATTCCATCAGGTGTGAGGCGGTAGAGCGGGTCTATGTGCAGAAGCAACTGCTCGTTTCTATTCACCACGAGGGCACTGAGCTCCAGGATGGCAGCGATGTACTTGCTAGGCTTCCTGTACAAGGGGGCATGAAGGGAAACAAGAATGCGATAGACCTAAAATCATAGGTACGTTCCTCAGCAGACGGTGGGAACTACTTCCCCACAGGATTAGCCTGTTAGCCTGAGTAACCCAACTAATCTGGAAAAGATAGCAACACGTGATAGACATGGGCCCTGAACACTCAATCTCTTCTCTCCCTTTATTCTATTCCCACCAGCCTAGGCATTTTCTTAGGCATCCACAGCATCATGTGGACACCAGACCCCTCTTTCTCTTCTCTGACACAGGGTTCGGTCCTGCTCTGCTCCCTAACATTGTCCACCCAGATTGGAACTCATCAATCCTTCCAGTTGTCCCGTGGCCAGTTCCCTCCCTTGTCTGTCAATTGACCATCTTCAGAGCTCTGCTCTAACCATGCTCGTCTTTGGTCTACTATGTGCGTTCCTGACAGAGCAGTTGCTTTAGACAGCTTGCCAGTTCTTTGGTTAATACATCTATACCATAGTCAAGGCCATGGCACCTCAAATGTGCTATGACTATTGGGGGGAGAGGGCTAGAGGGCTGAGAAATAGCTAAGCAAACACAAACCAGAGCTAGAGCAGGATGGGATTACCTTAGTCATTTCAATCATGGGGGGTGACTTTAAAGGGGTGTTAAAACCCTGGCATTTTTGTGTCTCGACTTCCTCCAATACATGCTTCCTCCGTAATATAAGTTTGTCACAGACCCAAAAGCAATGAAACCAAAATGTATTGAAACAATGAGCTAAAAACTCCTCTATATATTGTTACAGAAACAGAGCTCATGAAGACCTTTCATGGTTTCCTAGAAACCACAGCATGAAGTTCCACACTTTCCCTGGCTTGTAATGTCTGTATGCTTTAGTTACTGTCTACTCTCCCAACCTCTTCCCCAAATGCCTCATGTCAGATGCCATTATCTGTCTCATCTATATCTCTGTGCCCTTTTCTGAACAATCTCACCACATGGGAGGGGCTGCCACATTCCCCAGGGGGTTCTGACCCACTTTCTCCACAGGGGCTCTTCCACTGCTCCAGCCAGCCTTCCCTCTGCCACCTCTTGCCTTGATTCTACAGACTGAGTTCCAAGGCCCAGAGATGGAACTCACTCCTGACAGTTACTGCTGAAGCTGAAGACACATCTCTGCAAAGTGTCCAAGGTCATGAGGCTGATGTTCTGAAACATGTCCAGATGAGCGCTACCCCCTGACGCCAGGCGCAGCCACTTGTCCTTGGTAGAAAAATAGACAGTGACATGGTTGGATCTTGGTTCCCTGAGACTCTGCCCAACCCCAGCCACAATGGACACCTTTAAACCAGCCTTCTGGAATCTCCACCCCAGATACCTGACCTCAGAGATAACCCAAACTGAGTAACTGTGGAAGATGTTACTATAGCAGATGATGACCCAAGACTGGCTCAGGAGTCACGAGTTCAAGACCAGGCTCTGATTCCCATGCTCTGTGTTCCCTCAGTCAGTCCATTTCCCTCTCCTAGTTCTTGTCTGTCCCATCTTTAGGAAAAGCTAAGTTGTTCCAATCTAGTGTCTGCTAAACTGAGAGGAAACCATGTGCCACCTTGTGCTCCCTTCCTTCGGGATAACTTGAACAAGGTCTCTGGTATATATGACCTCCAGGTTTATCATTAATGAGAAAAGGTAACCTATGTACTTCACAGACTCATGGAGATTAATTTGGCCAGTGTAGATTACTGGACTGGGTCTTAACATCAGCTCTAGCCTATGGTAAGCACTCAATACATGGTACCCCTCTTACTGTCACTACCATAAGTGGGTTTCAAAATTATCCCTTTGTTGAGACTTTCATTGTTTCTTGAGAAACTTTGTTAGACATGCCAAGAATGAACTGCTATGATGTCCCTAACTTGGGCTATTTCCCCAGTGTTATTGCAGAAAACCTGAGGATACAGTGATGATTCTCCATGGGTAAAAATAAGACAAAATTCTGCTTGTTATAAAAGCAGATTCCCTGAGACTCAGTAAAAATTATAAATAATGATATTCGTTATAGCTTATTATTAAAATTCTATAAGACTCAGTCATATTATTGTAATATCACATTATGTTAGCATGTGAGATGTACCTATTGTAGCCCGTTTGCATTGCTCTCATGGAAGGGGAGTCCCTTGAAAAAGGATAAAAACTGGAACGATACACATGCTGTATGCACTACAGTGAGTAAAAGACTGGCTTTTATATCTAATCCCAGAATCTGGTGTGTTCGAGTAAAATCCATGACAAGTAAACAAGCTAACATATCAGTTTGCAAGGAAGGAATCATTCTGTGACTGTCACCCCAGGTCTTGTCTTCTACATCCAGTACAGTGTGATCTTCTGGCTTTGCCCATTAGAAGGCAGAGCCTGTTTGATCCCTTTTTGATTCTGTGTTTGACTTATGATTTGACCTGGTAAGATGATAAGGCTACAGTTCCAGGTAAATCTGAACTTCAGGTCCTGTCCAGCATCTCTCACTGCCATGGAACTCTCTGTGCCACCTGTGCTCCCTGTTGAGTCCATTCTAAGTTATCTTGAAGTCTGCAAGCTCCAAACATGAGAGAATTGAGCCAGGATCAATTGAGCTGCCCACCTGATCCACAGCTGATCATAAAACACCAGGGACCTAGACCCTGTCCAGAAGAAGCAACCAGTGTTTGGAAGTGCCAGGCTGTGTCTGTGTACCAAAAATTAACACCTGAGCACCCACCACATGCAGGGCCATGACTCTATGGTATCATGGAAACAAAGCAAAGATTTTAATCCCAAATCACATATGGGAAATCAAACCCTGGGGAACACTGCAATAAGCCAGACTGGCCCTTCAGAGCCAGGATTTGGGGACTGGATCTGTTTGAAGTCCCTTACCACTCCCACCTCCAGACTCCAGCTTGGGAGCTGGGTTCTGGAAACTCACGTGCATGATGTTGGTGCTGTCATTGAAAATCTTCATATAAGGTTTCAGGATGTTGAAATGAAAGGCGGGTGTCAGCATACGACGGTGGCGGTTCCACTTGTCACCAGCACTCACCAAGAGCCCATCCCCTGGGAGGGTGACCATTGGCAGTGGGCAAGGGTGGCAACTTTCCCTGGGCCCCAGGGCTGTCCCCAATCATCTCGCCTGCGGGGACTCACCCAGCCACGGTTTCAGGAAGCTGTAGAAGATGGCATCCTTTGGGGCAACAGCAGCTGGCATGAACAGGGATGATAAGGGACCAGGAGAATGAAGGGGAAGAAAGTGGTGCCCTCATCAGGGTTGTGCATGTCTACCTCAGGACAGCATGACAAGATTGGGGAGAAGGGCAGAGACAGCAGAGAGTAGCGGAGAAGTAGGCGGGACTCAGACCAAGCTTTAGAAGGAGGTCGGACATAAGAGCAGCCTAACATTGCACAACACACCCTAGTGTGCGTTCACATAGCTCCTACCCAGTTTAACAAGCTAAAATAGCACAACACTTTTTTTCCAGCTTACATAGACCTAACACATCCATCCATCCATCCAGTACTTTCTGTCATCTCCTGAAATACACATGACACAGATGCACATGACCTAACGTGTTAACATGGCCAAACACATATAATCTTCCCTGACGTGACCATACCTATTGTAACACAGAGAGAAGGCATGATGAATCTTAGCGTGTCCTGGAAATTATCTTAAAATGGTCACTGTGGTGTAGGGAGGCAGCTGACTCAGTAAAGTATTGCCATGCAAGTGTGACGACCGGAGTGCCACCCGCAGCATTCACAAAAAAAGTTGAATGTGGTGGTGTGAACTTTTAATCCTGGTTCTGGGGATGCAAGATTCAGGTGGGTCTCTGACTATCCAGCCCAGCCTAATCAGTGAGCCTCAAGGCCCTAAACAAGGTGTGTGGTTCATGAAGAATGATACCCAGTGTTGACCTCTTGCCTCCACATACATGGGCACACAAGTATAAGCATGCTCTCATAAACACACACACATATATCTGTACATGGATTTAAAAGCTAATAGTCAGGCTGGAGAGATGGCTCAGAGGTTAAGAGCATTGCCTGCTCTTCCAGAGGTCCTGAGTTCAATTCCCAGCAACCACATGGTGGCTCACAACCATCTGTAATGGGGTCTGGTGTCCTCTTCTGGCCTGCAGGCATACACACAGACAGAATATTATATATATAATAAATAAATAAACAAAAAATAAAAAAATAAAAGCTAATAGTCACCTTAACCTCTCAGATGGACAGTTCAGTCATGTCTCAGTGCAACCCTGGATGACTGCCACCAGACAACCCTACACACGGTCAAATGTTATCAGAAGGAGGAGAATACAATCCCAAACAGCTGCTGGGACAACCACACGGAACCCAATGTGCCACATATGTTCATGGCACCTTAGGATTCCCAGAGGCCCCTTCACATGATTCCAAATATGAACCATGTTTGGTCAGGGACAACATATGCCAGGTGTTATGGTTTGAATGTGAATTTCCCCCCAAGCTCCTGTGCAGTATGGTTGGCAATCAGATAGTGGCTCTGCTTTGGAAGATTCTGGAGACTGTAGGATATGGGACCTAACTGGAAAAACTTGAGTCATTACCTGGAGACTATGCCTTCTCTTTTTTCCTTTTCTCTCTCATCTCTCCTCTCTTTCTCACTTCCATCTTACCTTTCCTCTTCCCAATCTGGCCAACATCTTATAAGCTGTTATATATCCCCACAAAAGACTTTGAAACCATTAGCCAAGACCTATCCCTCGTTTAAATTGATTAGGTCAGACACTGTGTCACAGCTACCTAGCAAGGCTGCCTCAGATCACCTGACCAACTGGAGAGAGAAGAGATACTTCAGCAGTGAGCCAGTGCAGTGCCTACCTGAGCAGAGAGGAGGGGCATCATGAAAGCAGGAAGATGCTGGGCATGGTGGTGCACGCCTTTAATCCCAGAACGCAGGAGACAGAGGCAGGTGGATCTCCAGGAGTCCAGCCTGATCTACAAAGCTAGTTCTAGAACAGCCAGGACTACACAGAGAAACCTTGTCTTAAAACCCAATCCATATCTGAAGACTGCACAGATGGCCACCAGCCAGGGCTCTTCCAGCATGCATGCCCAATAGTGCACACTAAGATGTTGGTAAAGGACACCTTCTTCCTCCCTATGAGTCAGAGGAAAGAGGTTGCCAGAGAAGTGGATTAGCTGTGCAAGAGGCAGATAAAGCCCTGAGAATTCTGTCCAACACTTTCTCGTTCTCTGTGCTGAACCCTGCCTGGGATTCCTCCAAATATCTTTTATTCCCACTTATCCTCAGCCCTTGAGTTAGAGGGACAGAAAGACACAGTCACACTTATGATCCCAAAAACAGCATTAACCTGGATTCTCTTCCATCCATCATTCTCCAGACTGAAACCCAGGCCCTCAAGTCCTTTGCCCACAGTCAGGGTTAGGGTTAGGGTTGGGGTTAGGGTTAGGGTTAGAGGGTTAGGGTTAAGATTAGGCTTAAGATTAGAAGGTTAGGGATAGGGGTTATTGTTAGGATTAGAGGGTTAGGGTTAGGGGTTAGGGTTATGGTTAGTAAGTGGAGACTATATTATCTGAGACTATCCACGGGGCAGTGTATCTATAGCCTGAATCCTTACTCATGTGTCTCCAGGCACTAGTACTTGGATCCCAACACTTTCCTAGACCAAACATAGGCAGTAATATTGTAGGATATTATTTTATATAGGCAAAAATATGTTCCTTTTGTTTATGCTGCATTTGTTTAATTATGAAAGATGTGTTGCATTTTTTTTTTACCTTGCCTGCCTAAGGCACCTGATTGGTCTAATGAAGAGATAATTGGCCTGTAGCAGGCAGAGAGGATAAATAGGAGGAGAAATTTAGCCTCAGACGATTGGGAGGAACGAGAGAAGGAGTAGCAGAGAACAAGGGAGATGCCTGTCGCCAGACAGGCAAACAAACAGCAGGAAAGTAAAATGTACAGAAAAAGAGATGGTAAAAAGCCCCGAGACAAGACATAGATAAAGAGAAACAAGTTAATTTAAGTTTAAGAAACTAGCCAGACTGAATATTCAAAATTAATAAGCCTCTGTGTCATGATTTGGGAGCTGGTTGGTGGTCCAGATGGAAAAAGCCTGGTACAGAGTGACTTAAAAAGGGATTTGTCCTGTGTCTCAGGCCCAGAGATTAAAATTAATTATAAGCTGAGAATGCCTGGGAACTCCAGAAGGAAGGCAAGCTCCCCCTGGAAATGAACGTCTGAGGATCATCATTTGGATTTTGATGAAAAGGCTTTCGTGCAAAGGAAAATGTTCTACATGAAGGTAAAACAGACCTAAGGACACAGATTCCGATGTCATTGCTTAAAAGCTGGGTCCAGCCATGCTGGAAGACCATCCTCCCAGGTCTTTATAGTCTTTAGATTCCCTTTATTTCCTTCAATCAAACCAGGGGGGTCTTCACCACCCAAACCTGTCAGAGGTCTAGCCATGCAGAGAGAGCCAGGGGCCAGCTTGGCAATTGCTAGCGTCAGGTCACTACAGAAGACTGCTCGCTCTCTCCTCAGCCTGCCCCATGCCCTATGGTAATGTCAAAGAGCAGGCTAAGTGGGCCAGGCTGGAGTGCAATTTCTTAAGAGAGATTCTAGGCCTAGTTGGTGAGCAATGACCATATGATGGGCAAAGCACAGGAAGAGAAGGAATAGAGACATAGCAGCTAGATCCCTCATTAGCATAATCTGGGAACAGGATGGGCTGCAGTCATACATAGGCCCTGCATAGTCTGCCGCTACTTTGTCTTCATTCCAGATGCCTAGCTCTGTCTCTCCTAGACCTTCCCTGGTCTGTCCTCTGGTTGCGTCTGTTCTAGACATATCTCCTCCTCCAGAAAGCCTCCCCACCTGCCCTAGCCGAGATCTCACTTCTCCCTTCTACCATTGTTCGTCTTCTCCAGGGTGATCCCTGACCACAAGTGGTTGGAGTGCCCATCTCTTCAAGACTGGGTCCCTCTAGGACCGAGCCTTGCTCGCGGTCTCCTGGCATCCCAGGGATACCACAAATGCTAGGACGGGGAGGGAAGAAAGGACAGCAGTGGACTGATGAGAACCTGAAAGAACAGGATGGCTGAGAGGTACAGCAGAAGGAAAGATGAGATTACTGCAGGGGCCACACAGAAGCACGGAAGCCAGGACCAGAAGCTCTCAGATTCCCACAGCCACCCCACCAGCAGCTCCTGCGGGTAGATACCTGAGGCAGTGACGACAGATCGGACGGTGTCAGGGTGACATAAATGGATGAGGGGAACTATCGGACCTAACCAGGTCATAAAACCCTGGGGATAGGTGGCCACCAGCTCGGTCAGCTCCTTCATGCCTTCTTCTGTGGGAGGGGACTGGAAAAAAATAGACAAGGGCAATCCTTTCTGAGACGGCTCTTTTCAGGGATAAGATTGGCTGAGCTAAAAGTTGCCCACAAAAGAGGACGCAACCTGACTTCTGACTGTATTGGTGATGGTGTTTTCAGAACACATCAGTGTTCACATTGTAGACAGAGTCGGGATGACCCACCATCCACAGTGTGGGGAGCCCCATCCAATCCACTGAGGATCCAAATGAAGCAAGAGACAGAGGAAGGGAAAATTCACTCTTTCTTCCAAAGCTGAGACACCCAGATCTAAACTTGGATCTTTGACCTTTGGACTCCAGCATTTATATCTGACACTCCACTTTACTCCTTACTCGACTGCATAGTTAGACCACCAGCTTCCTGGTCTTCTAATTTGCTTGTGGCATTGTAGGATTTCTCAATTGAGTAAGTCCAAATTCTCTATCTCTATCTATCTATCTATCTATCTATCTATCTATCTATCTATCTATCTACCTATCATCTATTTATCATCTATCACCTATCTATCATCTGTCACTCCTTATCTCCTTTCTCATTTACATACCTGTACATGCTATAAGTCTATATGTGTGCATTTGTTTATCTACATAGCCATGTATAGAATTGTGCTACATAAAGAATTTTAATGACTCATTTATTTATTTTATGTGCTTTGGTGGTTTGCCTGCATGTATGGATGTGTAAGGGTGTCGGATCCCCTGGGACTAGAGTTACAGACAGTTGTGAGCTGCCATGTGGATGCTGGTAATTGAACCCAGGTCCTGTGGAAGAGCAGCCAGTGCTTTTAACCACCGAGCTCTTTCCCCAGCCCACATAATGATTGTTTTAATCAACAACAGAGTCACATAAAATTAAACAGACCTGAAGATTATCTATGGCTTGCAATTTTTTGCTTATACAATTCTCATGTTTATATATGTTTAATTAAGTAAACATCACGATCTAAAGCTTTCCTGCAGTCTCCTCAACAGCATCACAAAAGACAGGTTTGTATGCTGTGAGTGGGTATGTGGTCTCTCATCACGTAGATGTGCAGTTGTCTCTGTCATGATGGTTTGACTAAGTGTACTCTATAGTGTGGATAAAATGACAAAAATCACCCAGTGATGAATTTTTAAAAATTTGTCCCTATTGCTAGCTGGTGCAAGATGATGTGTCTGTGTGCATATGTATGTGTGCATGCATTTGTGGGGAGTGTTTGTATGTGCATGCCTTGCTTCTGCTCCTCTGCAGATCACTAATGCACCTTTCTCAGCACCTCAGCAGGTTCCTCCTGAAGCCTCTGGAGGTGACACAGCCTCTGCAGTGAACATGTCTGGATGTTGCAGAGTGGAGGAGGAAATACCTGTTCTTCTTGCTCTGTCCCTATCAGTCATTTCTCAGTACCAAGAGTGACCCTTATGGTCAGGAAAGAAGTAATATTGTCACACTGTCGGCCTCAGAGAGATTTGTCTTGGGAAGATTAATTTTCTCAGATAGAATCAATTCCAGCCCCAGGTGAAGCCTCAAGGCAAGGTCCTGATAGGGACATGTGTGGACTACTCTGTGACCTCAGGGTTTGTCCTCAAGGTTTCTCTCATGTGCTCTTCTGACTGAAGAAGTCTTCAGTTCCACCTATGCAGAAGGGTTCAAACACTGGAGCCTCTAGAGGTGGCGCAGCCTCAGCAGACCCCAGGACAGCAGAAGAAACTGCTAACTCTCCGTGAGAGTAGCAGCTCACCTAATAAGCAACCGCCCATAAGGCAGAGGGCACTGTGCACGGTGCAAGGACTTGTGTGCATGCCGTGAGCTCCGCAAGTTGTAAATGAAGACCAGGTCGGCCAGTGGAGCGAATGGGCCTATGTCAAAGTCCAAGTGTTGGGTAAAGGTTAGAGCGCAGGAAGGCTCATGGGAGAATGAGTGTACGCTCTCGTCCAGGTTGTGCAACAGGCCCCAGTGATCCATCTAAGCGGAAAAGAGCAATCCAAGCAAGATATGATCCAGGAGGTCAGGGTCAGAGCAGAACGCTCCTATGGTCCTAGGTATATTGGGAGAGGCATAGAAGGTCCTTCTGGAATAAAGTAGAAACCCAAAGATAAACTGACAGAAGGAAAGGGAGCAGACAGGAAGCTGACTCTGAACGAGGGCCCTGTGGGAGGCCTAAGCTGCAGACAGTGAAAGAATGTGAGGGGCCCTGGCACATGCTGGGAGGCCTTCAGTGTGTACAGACACGAAAAATGGCTAGAAATAAATCCAGAGCAGATTAGGGACGGAGAGCAGGTGGCATGGACCACATGGCGACTGTTGCTGCTTGACAAAGTTTCAGCATTTTGACATTGTAGACCACACGTCTCCAGCAACTTTTTGCTTTCATTTTTAATGGTTATCAATATTAATGCCTTCCCCTTTGGGAAATTTTGTGCGGGCTTTGATAAAGGATAAAAATGTGTACAATAGTGGCCTTTCTAAACAAAATAATTTTTTGGAAAAACATCCCCACCTCAGTGGAACTGGGAATTTCACTGTGCCCTCCTAATTACACCAAGAACAAGAATGTTAAAAGTTCACTAGACACCCCTCATCCCAAGGATGAAATGCCTACAGTTCAGATCCAGAGCCTGAGGCCATTAAGGGCAAGAATTCAGTTAATAAATACAGAGAAATCAGAATTATACGGTATAATGGGAAAAGAGTAAGACACCAGGACCTTCCCTTTTTGAACGTTATGAGGGGAACAAGTCCACACAGTATGACTAAGAAAGTATAGTGTAAGTGTCTGCTCCCCGGAAGTCCTTTTCCCAAGGTCTCCATTCTCTCGGGGCTTGAGGAAAGTTCATGCTTGATAAAGCAGTTCTTCTCCTTATCTCTGGTAAAATGAACTTGTGGCCCTTTTATTAACATGACTGGTACCTATTGCCTATGGCAATACCAGATTCCACATCCTCTGATCTCAAGCCACACCCAGCTCACATGCCCCCTCCTCTCCCTTTTAATATCATGTGCAACTGTGGAGTGTAAATGATGTGTTCTTTTTTGATTAAACACTGCTGGAAGGCACCCTGATTCAACCCCAGATCATGACTCCGACTCTACACATTGTCTCTGGGACCTGAGCTCCCTCCCACAAGCCGGTCTCCAGCAAACAGGGATGCGAGAAAAGCTTGAGATGGAACACACTAAGACCCTAATCCATCCTGCCACCAATTGCCTGATCCGATGGGGGAATCTCTACACCCTCAAACCCCAGCCCCTAACCCAAGCCAATCTGTTGGTGCCCCCTCATACCAGATCCCAGGCCACCCCACTACCAACCGCTTGACCACTGGGAGGTCCCTGCACCCTCATACCCCACACTCACCATGCCCAAGTGACCCCAAAACCAACTCCTCTTAGGTGGCTGAGGGAAGCCACGAAGACGACGACACTTTTCATACAAAGTGAAGATCTGGGTGAGGCAGCGGACCAAGAGCCAGGAAGCCCCAACCAAGAAAAAGAGAAGCCATGGTGAGGCTGACATGGGCCCCAGCCCCAGCCAGGATAGGTCCAGATGTCGCATCCTACAAGATAGATGATAGAATCTGAGTTCCTGAGTCTCCAGGAATGGACAGGGGCAGGGGCATCCTGTGACAGTGGACATGGAGACGGTGAATAGTGGTGTCCAATCACGTGATGGTGGGGACCCAATGCAAGGGAGAGGCAGTAAAATAGGACCTGAGGGGTAGGGCAAGAGGCAGATGGAAAGGAAAAAAAGGGACAGGGGAGTCTGAACAGTGTCCCAGACTGCATGAATGGTACTAGGAGGAGCTGTTACCCAGAAGCCACCATATATTCATGGCCTGCCTAATCACTGTGGCCACCCTTCTTTAGCCATCTGGCTCCACAACACCACCCCAGACATGGGCAGGTCTCTAACCCAGGATAGTACCCTTCAGCTCCACCTCCCCTAGCCTGGCACCTTCTCGCAGGAACGGTGTGTCTCCCACAGCTCCTCTCTCTCTTCTCAGCCTCTTTGTCTTTGAGTCATTACCTAAAGGAAATGATGGGAGGCTGGGCTCTTCTGTGCCAGCCAATCCTTCCCAGGCCGGACTGTTTCCTCCTGGCCTGGGCAGGAGGCCAAGACAAGTGGGTTGAGCCGGTCAGCTGCACAGTGGAACTGAGTCAGGGTCACACTGAGCAGGGAGGACAGATCCCCAGAATTTGGCCAGTCCCACATGTGATGGGAGGCAACACTGCTGTGGGCAAAGGTGGCACTGAGCCCCACCTTTTTGGCTCTTCTACTCTTCCAAAGGCAAGGTATATTGTGCTTTTAAACAATCATTAACTTGGGATTTCGGGTGCCAGGAGGCCAGGGTCAGGCATGTCCCAGAACTTCTCCAGAGCTCCTACGTGTGGGAGAAAGGCCTGCAGGATTTCTTGGTGCTGTACTGGGAAGATCTGGAATACCTCTGTCCACAGCCAGACAGCAGTCAAGACTTGCCTCCAAGGAACACAAGAGATTGGTAGCCACATTTCCTCCAGAAGCTGTCCAATAATTGAGTCCCCAGATCAGATTCCAGGGATCAGTAGTCAAGCTAGAAGAATGCAGCTGAGGCTGGGCTGGGCTGAAGCTAGGGTGTGGAAGGAGGAGGGAAGGTGTGTGAGTGAGGCTGTGAGCCGAGTGAGGCTGTGAGCCGCTATCTGCAGATACGGTCCAGGCAGGAGAGTTTGGGGCCTTTCTTGTTCTTATATGAAGCATAGATAGCACTTACAAAAATATTTACCCTAGCAAATCGCTCCAGCAATGGCCGGAGCAATGGTTCAATGGGTTTGATTCCCAGTGCCCACATGGTAGCTCACAACTGTCTGTGACTGAGTTGTCAGGGGACCCAATGCCTTTTTTTGCCTCCAAAGGTTCTGCATGCACATACTACACAGGCATATGGACAGACAAAATTAATTTAAAAATTAAACGATAATATTTACTATTTTGTACATTGATTATTTAAATATTCAAAAGAGAAACTGTTGAACACCATGGTTGGTGCATAGTAGAACTCCATATGCCTGCCTTGTGAGACACAATGTACTTTGGTATGCAGACTATGAGTTTCCTGTTAGCACCAACTGGGGCCAGCATCTAGACTGTGCTTGCCATTACTTCTGTGAAGGAATAAAGACATAGTCAGGTATAGGTAAGATTCTTGGGTCCCTTTGCCATAGCTGTCAGGGAATATGCTATCTTCAACCATCCCTTGTGCATTCCCTGACCCTCAGTAGCCTTTTAGGAAGGCTCTGAACATCAGGCTTGACAACAGAGAGCCTCAGACAAAGCAAGGTTCTGCTGCCCACAGTCCTGGGGCCTTGAGCAAGTAAGTCCATCTGGGCCACACTGCTGCTCAGTAATATGGTCATGTTGGTATGGTGGTGAGGATTTCTGGAACAGACATGCATCTTAGTTTGTTTAAATTCCCCAGAGTTTAAAGTCTTCTTTTGGAGGTGACCCCAAGACATAGTCTCAACTGCCTTGTATCTCTTTGGGAGGTGACCCCAAGAAACAACACCAGCACCATGAAGAAATGGGATGAGATGAGAAGGAGCTAAAAGCTATTTGCTGAGGGAGGTGTGCACTATGGTCATTGGGGCTCAGTTCAGTGGGGGTCTGGGAGACACAGTACTGAGCCTGTTTCTTAACCACCCCACCAAGACCAAAGGAATACGGTGTTTCTCCACGCATACACACACCCCTGAGGTCTCGGAGCTGCTCCCAAGACAGTGCTGGTGTGGAGTGTGGAGCTTGCACTGCAAAGGCCTGACCTGAGAGCAAGGCCAGAGGGCTCAACAGCTGCTCCAGCAGTATGCACAGCCCAGTATGGACAGTTCAGTGAGCCCAGTAATACACATACACATACATCCTCAGACTGTATACATATACACACACATACAACATATACACATATATACACACACACATACATATCCTCAGACCGTATGCATTATACACACACATACACATATATGCATATCACATACATACATATACACATATATACACACATACCAATGCACTGTATAAACACACACATACACAAATAGGCTCACAGGAAATTTCCAGGCTATATTACCTCCCTCCACGCACATACAAAATACATATACATACACATGCACAAATGCACACACTCAGACATATTCATACATACAAACATATACATATAGTCTCCCACTTTGGACTACTAATAAGGCTTCTTAAGGAAATATTATTTTGTTACATTAATATAATTATGGAATTGTACTTTTCCTTATATTAGTATTATTGTTATTGCCAATCCTGCCAGCAAAAAGGGAATCTCCTCCACCCTCAGGAGACCAACATGTCCCACAGCAGTCAGTGACAAGCAGGCCTGGGTTTGTTTTGAAAAATCACACAGGCAGTTGTAGCACAGCTCCAGGGACCTGCAATTCTACGTTCCTCCACCCTGAATTCCTTCACCATCCCAGTCCTGTTCAGAGCAGGAAAATGGACCATCAGTACTCCAAATATCCTTTGCTCTAGAAGCAGCTTGAGAAGAATGAAAAAATAAAACCAAGCTGTGTTCAGCCCTACATGAGACATCTATTGTTAACCCCCACTGGAGAGAACAAAACCACCACCACAATTTTTGAGTCAAATTTAAAGTAGACCTTAATATATATTGGGTTTTTTTTGTTGTTTTTTGTTTGTTTGTTTGTTTTGATACAGAGTTACTCTGTGTGGCCCTGACTGTTCTGGAACTTGTTCTGTAGACCAGGCTGGCCTTGAACTCACAGAAAACCTCTGCCTCCACCTCCCAAGTGCTGGGATTGAAGGTGTATGTCACCACCACATGGCTGATAGCTGTGGTCCTTTGAGACTGGGGTATAAGGGCACAAATCTCTATTCCCAGTCCACCCACGTGTGTACTACTCACTGAAACAGCGGGCCCCTGATAGGTAGGCTCCCCCTTGGCAACACTCAAGCTCTTTTCCCAGCTTCTGTGTGGCTTGGAGTCGCTCTTCGCTGAGCAGTCTGCTCCCGAGGCATTTTCTGGACCAGTATCTGGGGCTGACTCTTGCTCCAAGTCTATGGATCTGCCTCTCATTCTGTATGTGGCTCCTGCTCTAGCCTATGCTTTGCCTCTGCATCATACCCTGGAAGTCCCAATCCAAGATTCCCAATCCAAGAGACAGGACCCCTAGGTTTCTTTTACCAGGGAGAAGTTCATCAGGCCTGGTTTCTGATGAGCAATGACACCCTCAAATGTAGCAGGGTTGAGACTTTTGTACATTTTTGACTTATTGTTTCCCATATATGGCTACACGCATTCTGATTGGCTGCATCAAAATACCAGGCAGCCATGACTAGAATGAGAAGGTAGAGAGGAAGAAAGGAGTTGCAGGAGAGATTTGGTCAGACTTCATGTGCACACTGGGGTACTAGCCAACCAGCCCATACACTGCCTGCATGGCTGTTTCCTGCTTTGTTTTGGTTTTTGTTGTTATTGTTTCTTGGGGTCTACCATTTATCAAGCAAGTCCTCACCTTTTAAGCTGTTTCTAGAACTTTTGAATAGAAGGAGCACTTAGTGCAGTGTTTGCTGTTTCCCTCATCCAAAATAATCATACAGAAAATGTATTAAGTCACCACTTGGCCCATTAGCTCTACCTTCTTATTGGCAAACTCTTATATTACTTTAACCCATTTCTGTTCATCTGTATATCACCACGTGGCTGTGGCTTACTGGGTAAAGTTCCCAGCATCTATCTCCAGCGTCTCCATGGCTTCTCTCTGACTCCTCCTCTTCTCTCCCAGCATTCCATTTAGTTTTCCCTGTCTAGCTTTGTTCCCCTATAACTCTGGTATTGGCCCAAAGCAGTTCCTTTATTTATCAATGGTAATCATAGCATACAGAGGGGACTCCCTCATCATACAGGCAATTGTGGGCTCTTGCTGGGACCTGAACCCCAGTCCTCTACAACAGCACTACATTGTGGGCTCAGCTAATCCCCTTCTCTAGCCCCTTATTTTTTCTTCTGCAGCCTCTTCTTTTATGGATATATGTAGAAGAAAAATTAGAATCATTGCTGTGGTCCACAGGTTTATACAGTGATAATACAGCTGACAGCATCACTGGGCATACCCACTGGGAATCACACAAATTTCAGGGCACTGGGGATATTTGCCTTTTAAATGGTCACTGTCATTTCTGTAAAAACTCTTGGAAGCCGTAGCACTCCCTTTTCCATAGTAGGGATTGTTCTAAAAAACCCCAGCAATATATTAATCAATTCTTAGGCATAACTCCCTTATGCACAGTTATACTGGATTGCCTTTTCCCACACCGTGGGGCCCTGGTGTGAAAGTATTCACACAGTCTAGAAGCCTTTGCTCTCATAATCAAATCTATGCCCATTCCCTGACATAAACTTAGAAGCTAGCTCCCCACAATTATCTTTTATGGCGGGACATCTGGCCAGGAGAAAAGCCTTACAAATAGTCAGAGCCTCGAAGAACAGCTGCTGAGAAGGAAGATATAGCATGCCTGACCTCGTGATAAGGAGAATTGGGCACCCTGTTTCCTCTAACGGCCGATTTAGGAGAGTGAGACCTACTGGCCCCTGCTCTACCCTAACAAACTATTAATATTCTGTACTTACCTTCACTTTGGTTTTATTGATACAAGATCTATGTCTAGGAAATTAACTGGTTTTGCCTTTACCCCTAAAGACACAGGAAGAAGTTATGGATCACTTAACCAGCCCCAGAGAAAGGAATCTTTTCTCATTCAGGCTTCTTTGGGAACAAATGCCCCAGCCACTTAGCCCAAGGCTGGAAGCATCAGCTTCTGGATTTTACACAACATATCCATAGTTTTTCTTTTTTTCTCTTGATCTAGCTACTGTAGATGCAATCTCTAGGGTTGAGAGGTCCTCTCTAATCAACTAACATTTGGCAAATATGCTAACATGGACCAAATGTCACAGGATCCCCTGTTTGTTTACATAGGTTTCCTGTAACCTGATTCTTCCTCTGCCCACCGGTAAAACATGGCATGCCTTGCTCATGGCTCTTACTGATTACAAATTTTTTAGCTCTTATGTTATTTAAGAATATAGTGTAGCACACAAATTTCCTTCCTAAACTCCCCTAATATCTCTCTCTCTCTCTCTCTCTCTCTCT